CCCCACCCCCCTCCCCTCTAGAACCCTCAGTTTGTTTTCAGAGTCCATAGTCTCTCATGGTTTGTCTACCCCTCCAATGTCCCCCCCCTTCATTTTTAGGAAGGGAAAAATAAGGTAGCACTTTTAACTTACCCCTGGTACTTTTTCTTCCAGTGTCTAAAACATAATCTATGCGTTGAGACAAATTTACTAATTTTTATTACTGATCATTGAATTGAAGGAAGACCCATTATTCTACAAGTCTGAAAAGTTTGCCCTTAGCTGTCTGTCAGAGAAGGAGGTTGGTAGAGAAGCATTTTCTCTTCTCCACTTATATCAGCTATGGCTGCACAATACAGCATCCCCTAAATGAGTGTCTTAAAGCAGTACCCATTTGTTTAGTTCATAATTCTGTGGGTCAGCCATTTGGCTTGGCCTCAGCTGGGCAGTTCTATGGTCTGTGTCAGGCTTTGCCAACCTCAGTTGGACTACCAGTGTGGCTGTGGTCAGCTTCAAGGTTGGCTGGGAATGAGTTAGTCTAGGTTGCTCTCTGTTGGAATGGTTGATCTCTGCTCTGTGTAGCCCTTCTTCCAGTGACCAGCACAGGCTTATGCACCTTGGAGCTCAGCAGGATTCCAAGAGATAGAACAGAAGTGAGCAAGGTCCCTTGAAGACCCCTGACCAGCATCACTTCTGCATTCTAGGTTAAAGCAACTTACAAGGCCAGCCAGCTGAAATTCAGGGATTGGGGAAATAGATTGTACCACTTGATGGAGTTGCAGAGTCACATTACACACATCTGTACTCTGCGTGGATGTAGAGAGGAAAATAATTGAAGCCATTTTTGCAAAAAGTCTATATTACAAAGTCTTACACTGCCCACGTAATATGGGAATAATCAATACAGTCTCTTTTTTGTGGGAATCAGAAATATATCCCTTCTCTTAACATTTACTAATATAATCTATTTTATTGGTAAAATATAGATATTCAATTTAAAAATAGTTAATACACTCTAGATCTAGCTTTCTAATGCTAACAGGTTCTATTTACTGGCAGCAAAGCATTTACTGTGTGCCAGGCAGTGTCCCAAACACAGTGTCTAGCCTGTCACAAGAAGAGGTGGTTGTTAGGAGTATGGAATCTGGAACCTGACTTGGCTTGGATTCTGATTTTACCACTTGTTAGCTATGTCACCTTGGCAAACTAATTAGCCTTATTGTGCTGCAGTTTCCTATCAATAAAATGGGCTAATAATATTACATCTAATTATAAGGTTAATAAAAGGATTAAATCTATTTTCAGTGCTGGTAACTGTACCTAGCACCTGATGAGAGCTTTGTAACAGTCGGCTATTGTCACGGTCATGCTCATCATCCCCCACAGTAACCCTGTGATGGTTAATTCTATGAGGCATGATTAATCCAAACCCTATAGGTAGTTTCTGTTATTATCTCCATTTTACAGAGAAGAACACTAAAGTTCGGGGAGCTTGCCTAAAGTCACAGAAGCAGGATATGGTAGGACCCTTACTCAAGCCCCAGTAGCAGTTTCAAGTCTGGGCTTTTCACGCTTCACAGCACAACACCACCACACTGTAACAATAGCTTCCAAAGTAGTTGTCTGCAGGCCCAGCATTGACATATTTTGTTATTTTCCCCATTGTCAGCATTTCAGAGAAGGTTGATTTTCCCCGCTAATTGCTTTTCAGTTGAGCCGACGTAAAAGGCAGCCGCACTGAAGTTGAAGGAACTTCCGCATATACTTAACTGGGCAGGAGGAGAACGGAGCTGGTGTCTACTGAGCATCTTTCATATGCCACGTGCAGGGATATACCCTTGGCAAATATCTTAATTTATCTTCACAGATACCCCATTAGGTATATATTGCCCTCATTTCATAGGTGAGGAAACCAAGGCTGATCTTGCCTCAGGCACAAAGGATGAGTCTGATGCCAAAGCTTTGGCCCCTGTGCTGAACTGCTAAATTCAGTGTAGAGAAACTCTATTGTGAATACTTTGTAAAGAGATTGTATGGTACTTGTTACCTGATTTGCTTGTTTTAGAAAGGCAGAGGCTCTGACCTCTTCAAGATGATCTTGTGGTTTCATTCAAATAAGTTATTCTGTTCTCTTCCCTTCCAGAGGAGATCTGTACCCTAGTTATCGCTGAGACTTTCCCCGAAGATGCAGGGATTTTTACATGCTCGGCAAGAAATGACTACGGATCAGTAACCAGTACTGCCCAGCTGATTGTCACCTCAGGTATGCGAGGAGTAAAAACTGGACTGGGTTCTGTTCCCTAGCATTTAAGTGTGTGGTTCACCACCGCACAAAGAACTACCCCAGAGGAGAGCTCAGCCTTTAGGAATGCTTGCTGCCCCTCCAGGAGTTATCCTAACAACCAGTGTCTCATCATGGAACAAAGGCTTTGGGGGAGGGGGAATGGAAGTGGAGATGAAAAACAGAAAGATAATGACAGTGTAGCAACTGAACACACAAGGGGCTATTTTCTAAGTCATGCAACTTGGTCTTGGAAACAATGGATCTGGTTTCCTAACATCCTCATGCTAACCCAGAATCATGCTGACAGCAGAAAGCCACCTCTGAATCAGAGGTGCGGTCGCTGTTCTCAGCAGTGCCAACTGAAGAGCTGGGACTTGTACAAACAAATCATTGTTTAAGCCACGATGGAAACTTCTGAAAAAGTAATACAAGATAAACCTAATGTAACTTGGAGAAGCCGTAAAGACCTTAGAAATCAAATTTCATTGAAAATGGGATGTAACTCTGATACGAAAAACTAAAGCAGTATAAGCAGTGTATTATACTGTTAAGGCCAATATTCAGAACTATCTGGATTTTTTTAAAAAAGATTTATTTATTTATTTGAGAGAGCAAGACAGAGCATGAGTGTGGGTGGAGGGGCAGAGGGAGGGAATCTCAAGCAGACTCCCCGCTGAGCAGGGAGCCTGATCTCACGACCCCGAGATCATGACCTGAACCAAAACCGAGAGTTGGACACTTAACTGACTGAGCCACCCAGGTGCCCCTGGATATTTTTTTTTAACTCAGAAATGTACCGCTAGCAAGGGCAACCTGAAACAGCAGAGCTCCTGGAATGTACTCAAAAAATACTCCTTTATTTTCTTATAACTTTAGTTGACTATTTTCTGCTATTACTAATTAGCTTTAGCTTACTTTTATTGTCTCATCACTGTTATTTACTTTACAGTAGTTTTTAAAATAGTGTTTCCACCAAGCCTGGCACATAGTACATACAATAGGGAATCAAGAAATGGGCCGTGGCTGCTGAGACAGACTTGGGGAGAAGGACCAAGCTGCACTTTGATCTCTCTGGAAAAGTGAAAAGTTGGTGCTAGGTGGCAGCAGAGACACAAACAAGACTGGCTTAAGGATATTAGAAGAAAGGAAAGATATTAAGAAAAGAAAGATAAAGTTCACCGGATGGGTGATGGAGTGGATCTGAATCAGTACTTTAAATGGGAAACAGACAGACCACAGTTGGAGCTGCAGAGCAGGGAGGATCCCAGTGTTCGATTCAGAGGTGGCTTGAGATTGTCCCATCAAATGGGCATCGCGGGAGTGCGGTGCTCCAACAACATGGCTGAAACTCTGGGCTCTAAACATCGATGTGGCAAAGATTGGTGTGCAGTATTGCCCATTTTCATCTGGGGTGCATCTGCTGTAGGCCGAACATAATCAGATATTTTTTGAGCTTTCAGTTGACCTCAGTAAGCATTTTTTGAGTACATTCCAGGAGCTCTGCTGTGCTCTGGGCAAGGTGAGGAATCCAAGGATGACACGATCTTATCTCAAGATGCTTTCCGTTTGTTGAGAGTTAACGAGTCCGTTTCTTTTGTACTGGATTACAGCCGTGACAGTCATCTGAATTAGAAAAACATTATAAATGAGATCATAAGACATTTTACTTAAATTCAGAATTCTGCTTTCCTTAGATTTAAATAGAATGAATATCCATTACGTACCGCATAAAGCCTATATCATTTGAGCTAATGTCCATGAGGCATAGGTAGGATGTTCATTCGGATCCGCGGGCTGCAGTGTGAGCCAACAAAACAAATTAGTTGATATTATTTGTGTTGTCATTTTTTTTTTTTTTTACCAACTTCTGTGTTTAGATGTTGTTTGAAATTTGTTAATGAATTGGTAGCTGGTCTCCCCACTTGTGGGCCCAATCAGGAAATGAAACAGGTAGCAGTCCCTGAAAACCAGTTTTGAAGAACCAGACCCCCAAGCTGGCTTTGCTTGTGCATCGTATGAGAGAGCAGGGGAGCTACCTTTTCTTTAACAACTTAGTGGGGCATAAGGGATTCTCAGGTAGTCTCTGACAGCATGAAAATAACTGTTGAACTATAGCATCTTATTATTTCTTCCTCTCTCCCCCCTTCTTTAGCCAACACTGAAAACTGTAACTATGACTCAGTGGGAGAATCCAACAATGATCACTTCCAACACTTTCCACCTCCCCCTCCAATCTTGGAGACGAGTTCCTTTGAGTTGGCTTCAAAGAACCCATCTGAGATCCAGCAGGTGAACAGCCCTGAGTTAGGACTCGGCATGGCAGCCCTTCAAATGCAGTTCAATTCTGCTGAGCGGGAAACAAATGGAGTCCACCCCAGCCATGGAGTAAACGGACTGATGAACGGCAAAGCGAACGGTAATAAATCTCTTCCAACAGCAGCTGTCCTACTTTCACCCACTAAGGAGCCACCACCTCTGCTTGCCAAACCAAAACTGTGAGTATTTCTGCATGGTTTTTGTAATACTTTCCGTACCCCTGCTAAATTGCCTTTCTGGCCAGGGAAAGCCTTTTGCCTGGACTCAGCTATATGGCAAGTTGCCTTTTCTGCAGGCAGGTCGTCCCTGGCTGATGTGACCTTGCTAACAAGGTGGGGTGGGGTGTCCTTCAAAAATATAAAAGATGCCTAAAAATGAAGAAGGTAAATGAGAAGCTTGGTTAAATGTACCCTTTGCTAAAAGTCATAACTGGTTTCAGCTGTAAAAATATCTGTTCATGGTGTGGCCTTCCAATGTATAGCAAGGATGTAGCCACTCCTCAGAGGTGATGGGAAAAGAGACCTACTTTGAGCTCGCTATTTTAAAAACGTTTACAAATGTCTTAAATTTAAGAATCAGTAAGGAAATCTTATAGAGATAACCCTGGGAAGACTGAAAGCTGAGGATGGAAATTCAGTGTGCAGAACCTGAGGAGGGGAGTGAACCCAGAGATAACAGGCCCCTCAGGAAGAAGAGTGCCCCTTACCACGCAGCCTCCTTGGCTTTGGAATTCCATAGAACTGCTTATTTCCATGAATACCACCTTCATATTTGACATCCATTATTTTCTTAGGATGGTAAAACCTTGCATGAACTGTCTTCATTGGCACCAGACAGCAGAGAGTTGTTATGAATAGAGCCATTACGATGTCAGAGAGTGGCCGAAATCAGTGAGCTCAATAGGTTCTGTCATAGCATAATGGACTTGAATTACTGCCCTGATAGAGGTCAGTGGAGATGTCATATATAATGTATATGTACCTATGAGGTCACGTTTCCATGAGAATGAATTTGCCAGAATCTAGGAGTTATTGTTTCCCTAGGATTGAACAGCCTACTCTCATCTCTCTGTCATCAGCTCATTTGTTAGAAATGTTAGAATGTATACGATATTTTCAATTAGAATGTCTTACATTTGTACATCACTTTGTTTACTCAGTGATTTCATGAGCCTTGTTAGACCAATCAAATAAATCAGCCACAAGAACGTCTTAACTTAGCAAATGGGCAGACAGTTTTAGAAGAATAAACTTCTGGACAATCTTGTGTTGTGGTTTCCAAAATCTGTCTGTTACTACCCTGCACTTCATTTTGCATTTAGGCCAAGCTCGTTTTTCAGGTAACAGGGCTCCTAGGTGTGTATACAGTGGTGTGAAAAATAGCAGGTGAACACTGAATACCTGTGCCCCAGCTCCCCTGAGACGCTGAGCAGGTAGAATGAACTGAGACGTGGCAGCCTTACAAGAGAATTATACCCTGGTAGCTCCAACCCATAAAATTAATTGCCGCTGCTGACTCCTTTTACCTTTGGATTTTGAATATGTATTTGTAGTGCTTTTAATGAAACGAGGGACCTGCTCTCCTGGGGAAGACTTTTAATGACAAGGACCTGACTGTGCTCTTGATTAAATGAAGTGTATCTACCATAATGGCTGTCATAAATTGGATATGAATCACAGGAGAGCAAACATGAGGAGCTGTGAACAGGTGTTTACAGCCCTTCTTATCTTGGGACTTTCAGCAGCTCGTCAGCTCATGGCTCTGCTTTACAGAGATGCTAGTGTGTGTGGTGAGGGTGGGGTGTGTCTACAAAAGAGAACAGTTCTGTGTTTAATGAGAAGAGGAGTAACATAGGGGCACCTGGGTGGCTCAGGCGGTTGAGCTTCTGACTCTTGATTTCGGCTCAGATCATGATCTCAGGGTTGTAAAATCGAGCCCTGCGTTGGGCTCCTTGCTCAGCAGGGAGTCTGCTTGAGATTCTCTCTCTCCTCCCTTTGCCCCTTCCCGCACTCATGCTCACGCTCTCTCTCTCAAATAGATCAGTCTTTTAAAAAAAAAAAAAGATGAGGAACTTAAGTACAAGTTTAAAGAGTGACACCATGATTTGCTTATTAGTCAGATATTCAATACAACATAAGGTAAGAGGATAAATGGATTTTAGTGTTTAATATATATAAAGGGGTTACTCCCTGCCTCATGAGGAAATTTAGGGAAAGGCAGAGAGTGCCTAATCACAAAACCTGGTAGCTTAGAAATAACATTACTTGTACCAAGTTTTACCACTGTTTTTTTTTTTCCCCAAATCTTTATGTACTTAAGTATATCCTTAGAGTATCACTTAATTCTTTTCATATTGTATTATTACCTGCCGTTTACTAGATAGAAAATAAAATATGTGATGACACCTTCAAAATACATACTTTAAAGTTTTCTTATGAGGTATAATACTTTTTTGGATCTGTTTTAATTACAAAGTAAATGCATGCTTGATGTGCCAATTCAAACAATATGGAAGTAATTAAAGAAAAAGTGAACACTATTTGCTTTTCTTCTTCCATCCTGCCTTTTTGAAGTTACCAGTGTTACTTGTTTGGTCTGGTCTTCCACTCCTTTTGTATTCTCGTCATATTTTCTGAAAAGTTTTCTCGTTTTAAAAGTGGTATCCATTGATAGAGGAGTGCTCTATCATTCCATGGAATGACATCTGCAATAATTCAGAATGGCATTGAAGTTATTGACGAGGACCACAGGTAACTGCCAAGTACATTCTTACACGTGTCTATTTCTTTTTGGACATTGGGGAGAAAATGAAATTTTGCCTCTTGTTGGCAGTGAAAAAGTATGCATTGCTCTAATCTTTTTCCATTAGCCTGTGATTTTATTCCCTTTCATGAAAGGAGAGGCTTATATTTTGGGAATTCATGGTATTTCATTCTTCTGAATCATTTGTAATCAAATAGGAAACAAGTAGGAGGGGGCAAATAATAGGAATTAAAACATTTACTCTTGGAATAAACTAACCCAAAAATCATGTTTGACTTGTCAGATTCCTGAGGAAAGATCATTTTCAAAAAGAAAATCTCTTTGCGTTTTTTCTCTCAATAGTTCCAATACTGATCATGAGAAGAAAAAAAAATCAAAGACTAAAGTGGAAAGATAGAAATGTCATGAATTTTCTTTAGCAAAGTCCAGCCCTGATCCCTTCTAACCCAACTGAAGTCCTCACCAGTAGCTTTGCAACCCTCCCAGACCTCCAGCTGAGTCTGCCCTACCTGCCTGACGGCGAGTTTCCCTGCTTAGTGTCCTGTTGGCATCCACTTCAGTTTCTGCATCTCTCAGTGTCTTTGTCTCAGATACTGTCCCTCAAGTGTAAGTTTAACACGATTCAATATAGGCCGTTCAGTAAGTGCATAACTTTCCCACTTGCTGTGGGAACAGAAGTGCACTTAGAACACTACACAGGAAAAAATTCATAAATGAGAGTTACTTATGTGGCTTCATGTCCGATACTAAAAATCTTCTTTCACAGTGCGAAGAAAAGAAGCAACATGATGCTTAAGTCATATTTCTTATCACAGAAAAAGAGAAAGGAATAAATATAAACCTAACTTATGAACTATTTGTTACATTATTTTCCTTGTTCGGAGTGCACCATATAAATCTATTGCCTTCCACTCTCTGCAAATTATGTCTGAAGATTCAAAATAAACATAGGGCTCAGTTTGTTAATAGGAAACAAAATCCCTGCTTCTCTTTCATTCCTGCCAAAACACAGTTCTTCAAAGGCATGGATATGCATGGGATCCCCAGGAATAAACCCTAGAGGAAAACTTGGGAATGCCAAATTTAGTAGGTGATTCGCAAAGCATATAGGAAAGCATGGTCATGTTTTTCCACTGAGCTCACCTCCTGAATTAGACCAAACAATAGCTAAATAACATGCTGCTTTCAAATCCCATTTGCTTCTTTGTTTTTAATATTCTTCCTGTCTTGTGGGAGGGAGGTAGAATATAAACTTGTGTAAGAAGCAAAATGAGAAGTCCAACCGGAGATTTCTAAAGGGTGAATCAACAGTCAGGTCCTCGCACCCAGAAACAGGACAAGTCAGCAGATGAGATGATACATGTTCGCCTCCCTGGTGCTGGTGTTATACACCTTAGCCTGAAAGTCCGTGCCCTTTGACTGGAAGAATGGTAATGAAATGTTTTTCAGAATTTTTAACACGCTTAATTAACAGCTAAGCTAGGTATGGATTTAACTCTCTTTGCTCCTATTCTTACTGCTTTCTCTTCCGCTGGCCTCTAAAGAGAAAACAGCAGCAGCATTTCCTCTCTGAAAAGGGTAAAATGAATCAGGCTTTTTGAAAGAGTGGCGTTTCACTACCTTTGGTTCTGTCTTTGTCCTTTCTCTCAGTCCCACCCTTAGACACCTACTTGCTCCTGCAGTTCTCGTCTCAAGAGAGGGGGGCATGTTCCATAAACTCCTTCGTACTAAGGTCCTGGGGATCTTGTGCATCACGGCAGTGCAGTTGTGGACTGATAAAGCAAAGCCGCATCTTCATGCTAATAAGCGATAATAAGCAGCGTGTGTAGTCAGAGACCCGTCCTTTTCAGTGCGTGCGCGGGGACAAGAATGCTGTGTTGGAGAGATCGAAGAGGAGGAAATAGCAGCCTGTATCCCTCTCTTTATCAGTGATTGAACTGCGCCCGTCTTGCTATATTTGGAAGTTCCTTAAGGTTTCCTCCACAATTCAAGCACAAGTTGTTCCCTTGCCTGGAATGTTCTACTCCCCAGAATGTTCTGCTACTAATAGCTGGCTCCTTCTTGCTTTCGACTCCCAGCTTAATGTCACCACCTCCCCTGACCACCCAACCTAAAGCTAATTCTCCAGCTATTCAACCCAGCTATTCTCCAATAAATCATCCTCTTTCATGACCGCAGAGCATGTAACTCTTTCTGATAGCTTCCTATTGACTTCTTGTTAGTGTGTGTCCTGCTTTTGCCCCACTACTATAATGTAAGCTTTTTGAGAGTAGGAACCTTAACCATTTTTCACCAGGACCTAGATCAGGGCCTGGCATGCTCAAAAACATTTCTGAATGAATGAAGCAAGAACAGACCAACAAAAAGGAAGAGCAGGGCCTCCCGTGATTAGAGCAGGCCTGTTTGTTCTATTTAA